AAAGACCATTTCTTTACCAGCTTTTGTAAAAGTAAAAAGTTAATCATTATTTTTGTCTTGGTATCATCATCCATCCCAGGGTATTTTCTAAAAATAAATTTAAGAGAAGATATCATATACTGCATATGTATATTTGCTTATATGTGTGTGTGGGGATATATGATATTTATTCTACTTCATTCAATCAGAGTACTAATTTCATCTTAATTATAACCATTTAATCATTTTATTCTTCAACAAACTTTATAGGGCCATAATTTTTTATCCAAAACATTTAGTGTTTCATAACTCGGAATTTCTTGGATTTTACAAAGGTCATTTAGTAATGTCATATGTAATATGTAATATCCCTACCAGGACTGAAACTGGTACAAAACAAGAATATTCATAACAGTGTGACAGCCTATAAATAACTTCAGTATGTTCAGTTCAGGTGTTGTTGCCAAAATAAATTTAGATCAGGTTTTGCAATTAAATGAGTTCCCCAAACAGAGCAAAATGAATAAACAGCAACAAAAGAACAACAGAAATCTGTCTATTAAGGATTATGGACCAATAGCTGGTTACAGTCTAAATTTCAGTTGAAGAAGAAATCGAAATACAGATACACCTCTTTGATCTAGTATCACCCAGAAATAGCTTTCAATCAGTTGAATTTTCCAGGTTCATCATGTCTTTCTTTAAACATTTTAAGTTTCCTTTTATTCAAATTGGAATCTTTCCAAAATATCTGTTAAGTTTCCCTCTCTTTTCAAAGAGAAAAAATCAAGTAAAATTTAACCTATTTCTTGGTGATTTATCCACACAAATTAAATGGCTCCAGCTACTCTTTCAGTTGTTCTTTCTCCAGTTTATGGTTCTTAAGTGTCCTCTTCCTAAGCGATAATAATAAAGGGCATGGAAAAATATAGCAAGTATTTTAAAACAACTATTTTTTATGAATTACAAATGGAGTTTTCATATAAATGATCCCATTGGAATTAAAAGACCTTTTTTTCAATTTTTTATTTGATTTTTTTTAAATACTGTTTGAAGATCAAATTTAAGAATGTTTGTTCAACAGGTGTGTGGGCTCTTTGGTTCTGTGTTTGTCCTTCTGAGATAGGAATCAGATGATGGCTTCCTTCGGTTTACTCAAACCCATGCTCTTTTCATACGTTGCCAGATGTTGGCATATCATTTCACTCTCCCATGACTTTGCACATGGTTTTACATATATCTGAAAGGTTGTGTCCTTCCTTCTAAATTTAGCAAACTCCAAGTCTTTCATCAGAGCTCGGTGACAGCTTCTTCTTCCTCCAGGAAGTGTCTTCTGATGTCCTCCACCCCAGGTGTGGATTGGCCGTGTCTGTCTATTCATAGCACTCCAGGTTCACTCACTTACCCTGCAGTGGCAGGTGAGCTACTTTCCTGTCCTCTGAACTCTATCGTCAAGGAGGAGTTTAAAAGATCTACCGTTACTTTTGAGATGGCAAAGTAGGTAATGCATTGGCCTGCTAACAACCACAAGGTCACCAGTTTGAAACTACCAGCTGCTCCGTGTGAGAAAGATGAGGCCTTCTGCTGCAGTAAAGATTTATAGTCTTGAAAACTCAAAGGGGCTGTTCTACTGTTCTGTCTGAATAGATTCATTGACAGTGAGTTTGGGAGTTTTAATGTTCCTTTTGAGGACCACTGATGGTATAGGGAGTTATAAGTTGGGTTGCTAACCACAAGGTCTGCAGTTCAAACCCACTAACTGATCCCCAGAAGAAAGATGAGTCTTTATATTCCCATAAAGATTTTCAGTCTCAGAAATCCAAAAGAGCAGTCTTCCGCTCTCAGGCAGAATCAACTTGATAGCAGTGAGTTTGGATTTGGGAGGGAAATGTTACTTTTTGTCCTGAGAAGCTAGTGCAATGGCTATCCCACATTAAGTACTTACTATTAAGATGGGAAATGCACAAAAATGAATTCAGAGCAGAATTTTTTAACTGCCCAAAATAGCAATTCAAAATAGCAAATAGCTTTCTAGGGTTTTTTTTGGTATACTTCCTTATTACTATACCTACCTTTTATTATACTTTCTTTTTACTATACCTACCTGTTAGGCTCTTGATCCTAACAGCTCACAAAGTGCAAGGAGTTGTCAGCTCTACTGTCTGTCTCTGTCTGTATTTCACCACGTGGACAGCGCCTCAAAGAAGCAGAGGAGGGACTGAATCTAACTGGAGTCGCAGGATGAAGTCACCGAGGCGCACGTGAGCTCTCAGTGTTGAGAGAGGTGCAAAACTGTCCTCTGCATGCCGCCAGGAGTCGCGGAAGGTGCGGCAGCTCAATAGTGTGATCAGCTCTTTGTCCTAGAAATAATCGGAGTGCAGTTGCAGGAAGAAGTGGAGAGGGGAGGAATTGGACGTGGGAGGGCTACTTTGGTAGCTGATGCCTAGGTTCCAGGGGAGAAACTCAGTGAAAAGAAATGGATTGGAGAAGGTGTCTTATTAGAGGAATGACTATTATAACTGGGAAAAAGACCCTTGCCTTTTAGGGAAAATTACAACTAATCTCTGGTTATTTGGGACCGTGTATTTAGATAGTGATGTAAACGTTTTCAGTAGATTCTTTCTATTATTTTTTAAAAGGCCTATCTGGGATGTTCTGTGTTGATAAGCTGGGGACGTGTCTCATGGTTTCATTTAGAATATACACAACAGCAGCTAGAATAAGGCTGTGAGGCCGTCTTTGATCTTGGGAAGATAGGAGCGGGCTTCAAGAAAAATCGTGGGGAAAATGGAATTAAAATATAAACTTTCGGAAGTCCCTTCATATACCAAAGACGGTTCAAGTTGCACGGTTGGGCACCGATGAGTGGACTCCGACTCCGGGCAGCCGTGTGGGACAGGGTAGAACCGCCCGGCAGAGTTGCCTGGGCTGCAGTGTTTGGGGAGCAGATCGCCACGTCTCCTCTGCCTCAGGCTCAGTGGTGGGCGGACCTCTCCGTTAACCGCGAGCACTTAGCCTTAGCCACGGTGCCACCGTAAACCCAGCTCAAAGGCCCTGCTGATTGTGCAGGCTGCCCTTTTCTGGGCGCTGGGTACCAGAAGAGGGCATCTACTTAACGCTGCATTGATAGACCTGCCGTTGGCGTGTGTCGCCAGTAGTTAAAAGTCTCATCATGTCTCATGAGTGTGGACATCTCATCCATACAGGTGCGGGTGTTCATCAACCAGTTGTATCAGCAGCGCTTGGAGGAAATCAGCAAGAACCCCGATTTGCAGGCCATCCGGATTGCTTCTGTGAACCCCATCCTGGACCCCTGGATATACATCCTCCTGCGGAAGACAGTGCTGAGGAAGGTGGTGGAAAAGATCAAGTGCCTCTTCTGCCGCATTGGGGGCGGCCGCCCAGACCGCTCCAGCCAGCCCTGCTCGGAAAGCCGCCGGGCCTCGTCCGCCCTGTCGGGCCACTCTCGATCCTTCGTCTCCTGGGAGCTGAGGGAGATCAGCAGCACATCCCAGACCCTCCTCTACCTCCCAGAACTAAGCGACAACGGCCTGGGAGGCAGGAATTTGCTGCCAGGAGTGCCTGCCATGGGCATGGGCATGGCCCCCACAGACACCACCTCACTGAGGACTTTTCGAATGTCCGAGACCTCAGACTCCTCCCAGGGGCAGGACTCGGAGAGTGTCTTACTGGTGGATGAGGTTGGTGGGAGCAGCAGGGCTGAGGCCGCCCCAAAGGGGAGCTCCCTGCATGTCACGTTTCCCAACGAAACACTGAACTTATCAGAAAAGTGTATATAGTGGGTGAGAAAGGGGGAAAAAATACAGCACTGCTTTTGAACCTTATTAGATCCCGTGCAATAGACATAGAAACGCCGCATTGATCTGTGCTCAGAAGGGCTACTTTCTTCCTATGAGCCGCACAAGAGAACATCCTGGCTTTGGAGCACTTTCCGAACTAAGAATTCCATTCACATGTGTCCCAAGGACTGCAGCACATTGGTTGCCACACCTCCGTGCCACAGGACTGCTGTCAGAAGTCAACCCCTGGGAAGATCTGCCCTATGTCTCCACTGGATGGGAGGACAGCAGAAAGGTTGCTATTTCCACGGCATCCGGAGTTCTCGGTGTGGCACACAGCACAGGACCAGGTATTTCTCACTGCCGTCCAGTCGAGTCCGACTGCAGGACAGAGGCGAGCTGCCCCTGTGGTTTTCCAAGACTAACTCATTACAGGAGTAGAGAGCCTCATCTTTCTCCCGAAGAACAGCTGGTGCCTTCCAGCTGCTGGCTCTGTGGTTAGCAGCCCTATGCGTAACCACTACGCCAGCCCACAGGGCTCCTGGGGCCAGGCATTTGAAGGGCTCTACTCCAACAAACTAGGAGGCCTACCTTTGGGATGACTTCAATGTCTCACTCAAGCATGAAAATGTGAATTTTTATTGTTGTACATATGATTTAAAGTATTTAAAGTATTTTCTTCTCTATGAGAAGGTTTATTGTTAATACAAGGTATATAAAATATGGTTGCCCCTTTCCTCTCAGTATAACCAGCTGAAGTTGAAGATCTTAGATATTTTTTGTCTTAAGCAAGTTCAGGCCAAAGTATTGAAAATTCAGTGAGATTACTATCTATAAAAGAGATGCATTTCTAAGAAAGTTCTAAAGAATAAAAAATATATATATATATATACTATTTAAAATATGAATATATTGTAGTCCAAACTATTAAACTTCTTTCCAAACGTGAATAGAGTCCGAACTATTAAACTTCTCACTATGTAATATATATAGTGAGAAATGTTTAGTGAGGCTACATTTATTTATCCAGAAAACTGTGATTTCAGGTGAGCCTAACAAACATCCTGGTCAATATTTTCAAATTTTGTCCCACTAACTGATACTTTTAAAAATTGTACATAAATCTGTAGGAAATAGCCAATAATTGAAATGTGTCATCTAAAAGTAAAAAGTCTAAGCTGCTTGGCTCCTCCACCACCTCCCCAAAAAGTATGTATAGTTTTACTTTTCTAGGGAATTGCATAGAAATACACTGCACATTTTACGCAGAGGGCAAGCTGTGCCCTTGTGAAGCTTAATTTGAAATGTGGGGTGAATGCCCTTTCACAGGTGTCCGTGTTGTTTATCAACAACATACAGGGTGCAGAACTTGGGCACCCTTTAAGCTTTGTGTGATCCCCAATCATAGTGTACACATGTTTGAAAGACCTTTGTAAAAGAAATGTTAAGCATGTTTTGTTGCTTAAAGTGTTTTTGTGAATTTCTTGATTGGTTGTAATGAAATTCTGAGCCTGATATTGATACTATTTCAAGAAGTTGAACCAACTGAAATAATTTTGGAGATTTCGGTAAATAAATACACTCAATCTGAGTTCCATATCTTCACTTTTGGAAAACTTGTGTGATTTGTGTTTGCTTTGGGTCATTTCATTTCTGTATCCTATTAGATTGAATTTTTTTTTTTTTTTAGTTTTTCAGAGAAAAGTTACAAGAACACTACAAAGCTCTCGCTCCACTTGGTGCAGAATGGTATTTAGAAACCAAGCTCTGTGTGCTGGAAGTATTCCTTATCTTTTAATGCTGTGCTCAGAATCTGCAGTTGGTAACATTTTATCACATTTCTTCCTTCCTTTCTAAGGCAGTGGTTCTCAACCTTCCTAATGCCGTGACCCTTTAATACAGTTCCTCATGTTGTGGTGACCCCCAAAACCATAAAAGTATTGCCGTTGCTACTTCATAACTGTAATTTTGCTACTGTTATGAATTGGGCGACCCCTGTGAAAGGGTCTTTCAACCCCCAAAGGGGTCACAAACCACAGGTTGAGAACCGCTGTTCTTAAGCATTGGCTAGCATGGTGAAATTGAATATTTCAGAAGTTTGAACCAGATGCGCTTTTCTGCCATCTTTTCCTCAGTGGGCAATCACGTGCCATTAGGTCTGCAATCAGAGATAATGTGCGACTGCTGACATTACAAAGGGACTCCCAGGGCAAGGACTCAGTGGAAGCCACTCCTAGTAGAAGTCCTCAAGGACGCCCCTTGCCCCCAAATTGAACCTGATCAAACTCCTAGGTGTAAGCACCAATTTACAAGAAATAAAAGGTACAGAAGAACAACAACACTATCAAATGTTCACAAGTCTGAAGAATACAGGACTCACAAACCAAACGGTGTAGCCGAGTGAATCTTGCAAGGCAGAGTGCACAAGTGCCCCATAACGTTTCTAAGGTTTGATATGTGTAAAAGTACAATGCTACATCTTTCTCCCAAGGAGCAGCTGGTGGGTTCAAAGCACTATTTTAGTCAGCAGTCGAGCACTTTCTAAATTTAAAAAAAGAAAGAAAACCTACATGTTCAAAAGATGAAGAGGCTATCAACTGTTTAAATAGATGGACTTTTTAAAATCTTGAGTTAATCGTACTATTCTTATAGTATTATAAGTTTTGGGTGATACCCAAAATGTACTATAATTCACTATATCTATACACGGGTTCACCAAGAAAGAATCAATTCAAAAACAACTAACAACAACACGATAGCTTTTTACATTTTAATTCATAATTTAAAATGGTATCAAAAAGAAAATGCCAAAAAAAAAAAAAAAGCCAAAGTGACTTAACTTCTGAATTCAGAAAGAGATGATACCAAACTATACAAATCTATCCCAAAAAATGTAGTACGTTAAAATACCACCTAACTTTTTAATGAAGTTTGAATTGCCCTGATTTCAAAACCAGAAATAATAATGACGGACCAACATCCTTCATGAACATAAGAGACATAGAAGTCTTGACAAATAAAATATCATTTGGATCAAGCTATAAATAAAAAGCGTAATATATTAAATACAACTAAGAGTTTATTTCAGGAATGCAAATTTGCTTTGTTGGCTGTTCTTAGGTGCCATCGAGCTGGTTCCAGCCCTCAGCGACCCTGTGCACAACAGACTGCACACTGTGCAGCAAACCCTGCCCAGTGCTGCCCCAGCCTCACAACTGTTCCCGAGCCTGAGCCCCTGGCTGCAGCCATGGGGTCAGTCCAGCTCGCTGAGGGCCTTGCTCCCTTCATTGTCCCTCTACCAAACATGCTGTCCTTCTCCAGGGACTAGTTTCTCCTAACATAGCCAACGTATGTTAAGATGAAGTCTTGTCATCTTTGCCTCTACCCAGCACTCTGGCCGTACTTCTTCCAAGACAGATCCATTTGTCCTTTTAGCACGTCATGGTACTTTCAATATTCTTTGCCAGCACCACAATTCAAAAGTATCAATTCTTCAGTATTCTTTATGCAATGTACATATGAGGCTATTGAAAATATCATGGCTTAGGTCAAGTGGCACACCTTAGTCTTCAAAGTAATGTCCTTGCTTTTTAATACTCTAGGGGTCCTATACAGCAGATTTACTTAATGCAACTCATCTTTGGATCTCTTTATTGCTGCTCCTATGAGCTCTGATTGTGGGTCCAAACAAGATGAAATCCTTGACAACTTCAATTTTTTCTCCATTTATCATGGTGCTACCTATTGGTCAAGTTGTGAAGACTTTGGTCTTCTTTACATTGAGTTGTAATCCATACTGAAGGTCAAGTCCTCAACATTTTCAGCAGGCAAGGTTGTGTCACCTGCACATCACAAGTAGTTAATAAGCCTTCCTCCAAACCTGATGCCACATCTTCTTCATATAGCCAGCTTGATTATTTGCTCAGCAGATTGAATAAATATGGAAGATACAACTCTGACCCACACTTCTGACTTTAAACCATGCAATATCCCTTTGTCCTGTACTTACAGTTGCCTCTGGACCCACATACAAGTGCCACATGAGCCTAAAGAAGCATTCTGGAATTTCCATTCTTTTCAAGGTTATCCACAATCGTTATGACCCACAGTCGAATGCCTTTGCATTGTGAAAAAATCACAAGTAAACGTTTTTTCTGGCATTCTGTGCTTTCAGCCAAGATCAATTTGACATCAGGAATGATATCCCTTATTCCACATCATCTTTCAATGTCCTGCTGCAACCACTGTTGAACAGACTTCAGCAAAATTTTACTTAACAAGATATTACTGTTTAGAAAAAAATGATGGCAACATATGTACAAATATGCTTGATACAACTGATGGATGGATTGTCATAAGAGCTGTAAGAGTCCCCCCAAAAATAATCTTTTTTTAAAAAGGCATTAATTATATTTGTTCTATAATTTTGGCATTTTGTTGTGGGTCACTTTTTTTTAATTAAAAGATCACTTTTTTAAATTAAATAATCATTTTATTAGGGGCTCATACAACTCATCACAATCTGTACATTCATGTCCAGCACATTAGTACATATGTTGACTTCATCATTCTTACAACACCTGCTTTCCACTTGAGCCCCTGGTGTCATCTCATTTTTCTCCCTCCCTTCCCGCTCCCCTCTCCCCCCTGGTAACTTATAAATTATTATTATTTTATCATATCTTACCCCATCCAAAGTCTCCCTCACCCACTTCTCTGCTTTCTGTCCCCCAGGGAGGAGGCCGCATGTAAACCTTGTCCTCTGTTCCCCCCTTCTCCCTCTCCTTCCCTCCACCCTCCTGCCATCGCCACTCTCTCCACTGGTCCTGGTGGGTTCATCTGTCCTGGGTTCACTGTATGTCCAGTTCCTATCTGAGCCAGTGCACATCCTCCGGTCGAGCCGGATATGTAAGATAGAATTGGGATCATGGTAGTGGGGTGGAGGAAGCATTTAAGAACTAGAGGGAAATTGCATATTTCATCGTTACTACACTGCACTCTCATTTGCTCTTCTCCTCCCCGCAGCCCTTCTGCAAGGGGATGTCCAATTTCTCCCAGATGGGCCCTGGGTCCCCACTCTGCACTCCCCCTCATTCACAATGTTATGATGTTTTTTTTTTTTTGTTTTGGGTCTTTGATGCCTGATACTTGACCCCTTCGCCGCCTTGTCATCTTACAGGCTGGTGTGCTTCTTCCATGTGGGCTTTGTTGTTTCTCAGTTAGATGGCCCCTGGTTTATCTTCCAGCATGTGGGACCCCATATTCTGTGTAATTTGACAGCTTGGTACCATCAGCTTTCTTCACCGCATTTGCTTATGTACCCGCTTTGTCTTCAGCATTCGTGTCGGGTAGGCTGGTGTGCTTCTTCTTTGTGGGTTTTGTTGTTTCTTAGCTAGATGGCCACCTGTTTGTCTTCAAGCCTTTAAGACCCCAGATGCTGTATCATTTGATAGCCGGGCACCATCTGCTTTCTTCACCACTAAAAGATAACTTTATTGGGGGCTCTTACAACTCTTATAACAATCCATACATCATTTGTATCAAGCATATTTGTACATATGTTGCCATCATTCTTTTCTAGACATTTACTTTCTATTGAGGCCTTGTTAGCTGCTCCTCTTTTTTCCCTTCCCTCCACCTCCCCACCCTCGTGACCCCCTTGATAAATTATAAATTATTTTCATATCTTACACCAACCTCTGTCTCCCTTCCCCCATGGTTTCTGTTGTTCATTCCCCTTAAGGGGGCAGGACGGGGTTTATGTGTTTATCATTGCAATTGGTTCCCCCTTCCTCTGTGGGTCACCTTTCTTTGGAATGGGCACAAATATGGATCTTTTCAGTCAGTTGACAAAGTCGCTCTTTTAAATTCCCTGGCATAGACGAGAGAGTGCTTCCAGTACTTGATCGGCCTGTTTAAACATTTCATTTGGCATTCCATCAATTCCTGGACCCTTGTTTGGGGCTAATGCTTTCATAGCTGCTTGAACTTCTTCCTTCAGCATCATTGGTTCTTACTCATACATTACCTCCTGAAATGGTTTAATGTTGAATAGTTCTTTGCGACTCTTTGTATTCTATCTTCTTTTGATGCTTCCTGCATAGTTCAATATTTTGCCCATACAACCTTTCAATATTGCAACACAAGGTTTGACTTTTCCTTGAGTTCTTTCCGTTTAAGGCATGTGGGGCATTTTCTTCCCTTTTGGTTTTTAATTCTAGTTCTTTCATAATATTTTACTGTGTCTTCTTGAGCTGCCCTTAGAAACTTTCTACTCAGCTCTATGACTCCATCATTTCTTCCATTTGCTTTAGCTACTCTATGATTAAGAGCAAGTTCAGAGTCTTGTCTGACATCAACTTTGATCTATCTTTCTTGTCTTTTGAATGACCTTTTGCTCTCTTCTTGAATGTTCTTGATGTCCTCCCGCAGCTTATCCGGTCTTCTGTCATTAGTGTTCAATGAATCAAATCTGTTCCTGGGAAGTTCTAGAAATGCAGGTGGGATAGACTCTCCTGGATTTGCTTTAATTTTCCTCAACTTTATACTGAATTTACATATGAGCAATTGATGATCTGTCCCACAGTCAGCCCCTGGCCTAGATTAGCTCCTGATA